TCTTCTCTTCTTATTTTAAGTTTACAATGCCCTGTTCGTAGTAAGGTTTGCACTCCTCTGCTTCTATTTGCCTGCTAGTCACCTTACTCCTAATTATTTTTTTTTTTTTGTTTAAGTGAGCTAACCTCTTTCAGTATTTCCTGTAGTGCAGGCCTCATAGTAGAGAATTCCTTCAATTTTTGTATGTCTGAGAAGGTTTTTATTTCTCCTTCATATCTAAAGGAGAGCTTAGCTGGATACATTATTCTTGGCTAGTAGTTCCTTTCATTGAATAGTTTGAATATTTGATTCTACTCTTCCTGACTTATAAAGTGTGTGCTGAGAAGTCCGTCGAACATCTAATGGGTTTTCCTTTATAGGTTACCATCTTCTTTTCCCTGGCTGCTCCAAGAATTCTGTCTTTGTCTTTGATTTTTGATAATTTTAATATGATGTGTCTTGGTGAAAGCCTTTTTGGGTTGAGAAAATTGGGTGTTCTGCTGATTTCTTGAATTCCAAGCCTTAGCTCCTTCCTTAGATTTGGGAAATTTTCATCAACTATTTCTCTGAAAATGCTTTCTAATCCCTAATCCTTTTCCTCCCCTTCGAAAATTTCCTTTATTCTTATGTTTACTCTCCTGATGGTTTCAGCTACTGCTTGTATTTCTCTTTCATTACGTTTCATTCTTCGGTTTCTCTCTTCTTCCTTCTGGTTTATTTCTGGATTTTTGTCTTCAATATCACTGATCCTTTCCTCCTATTGGTCGACTCTATTTCCCAAGATTGTTTTTTTCATTTTTCTACTCTCGAAATGTGTACTTTATCTTTAGACGGTCTATTTGGTTCTTTTTGAGGGTTTCAATCTTCGTGCTAAAGAACTCATTCTGCTCACCTAGGTTTTTTTTTTTTTCCAGTTTCTGAAATTGTTGATATGATTCGTTTCAGATCTCACTGAGTTTTTTTCATAAGTATCCTGAATTCTCTGTCATTTAATTCACATAGTTCTGTGTCTGTAAGCTTATTTTCTGGAGATTTTTCTCTTTCTTTCTGGGATGCCTTGTCACCTTGGTTGTTCCTGGTGTTTAATAGACTATTTCTCCACCTTGGGCATTAATGTAAGTGTGTTCTCCTTTTTCTTTTTTTTTTTGCCCTCAGAAAGAAGATTTATTATATAATGGTCCCTAGCCTATTCCAAATAAAGTGGGGTTTTTTTTTGTTTGTTTGTTTGTTTTTTTTTTTGTTTCCAATAGGTGGAGTCCAAGCCTCTTGGATCTCTGTTTTATATAAAGTGTTAATAATGTCTTTTTTCCCTTATAAATGTTTAATCATGCTCACTACCCTCAGTCTCATTTCTGTCAGAGTTAGTGACAGTTTCGGTGCCATTTGCTCAAATTCCCCTGGAGCTCCGCGGCGTTCCTTCTGGGAGGGTATCAGGGGACGGGCCCTCCGGATTGGGGGATGGGTCTGTGGCTTAGCCTCAGTTTTGCAACCATGGCCAGTAAAAATCAACTGTTGTTTCTCTGCTGTCCCTGCTTTTCTGCCGTCACTGTTTCACTGCCTTCAGCCTTGTCGAGCTCACAGCACTCCCAGGCAGGGCTGTTCAGGGAACACGCCGCTCCTTATCCCTTCTTCCTCTTCCTACAGGGAGCTCTGGCTGTGAGAGGCAGCTTTGTTTCTCCCAGTTCACCGCCCGACGCCCGGGGTTCTGACCTGTGGTAGCTCTTATGCGCAGATCCCATACTCAGACATGCTGGTGTGCAGTTTGGGTGTTTTTTGTTGAATTTGAGATTTAAGTTTATTGTTGTTTCAAGAAGAGAGATCTACGAACGTCTCTCATGCCACCATGTTTAATCCAATCTCTGTGATTGCTCAGAAATAATTTTAATTTTTACAAGCAGAGACTGTCCTCAGATTTCAGAATGACAGAAAATGGCCTAGATTAACTGGATGGATGTGACCCATTGAGCCATCAGCCATGGAAGGGAGAAAGTAGCAATTTAATAAATAATCATAGTTTAATCCATATGGATTTATTTCGGAGATAATCAAGAGATACCGGTGGGTCCGGGGCCTGGGCTCCCGTGCCCACCACTACAGCTGCTGGACAAACAATGGCAGGAGGAGGCTCCGGCAACTGGAGGCTCCCACCCTCTGTAGCTTGCAGGCCCACTGGCTGCAGGTAGATTGACTGACTGACTTCTTTGATACTTTCAAAACAATCTGTTGCTCTTATACATCAAATTAATTTTAGTATTTTAGTTTTTGTTCCTTTGGCCATAAAAAGTTTAATGACTTATCAATAGAAAATAATATATTTCTGTATAGGACAAAAAGGACATTTAATTATCACTTTATACCCTATTTTGCTGTTTGAAATTTTTATAATGCACATGTATGACTTTGATAATAAAATATTATATACCTTATAACATATGCAGGCTAGTTAAAATTTCTTCATTTAATTTTAATCTGTGTTCATGTATTTGCTAAGATATTTAGTATTTTCTAAATAGGATTCATGTCAAAATTATAATAATGGATTAAAAGTTTATGATGAATAAGATCAAAGATAATAGCTGTGACATAATTTTTGCCAGTTCCTTAGTGTACCTTTGTGGTACATCTATTCTAAATTTCCAATAACAGTGAATAAATTAGACAATAGAAGTTTATAAAAAGTATAATTTCTAAAAGACGTGTTGTTATATCTGAAAAAAAAAGTTATTTAAACTTTATAAAATTTCTAATTTTGTATTGACCAAGTGTGTGGTCAAGAGATAAAATATATTCCTAAACTCTATTGCTAAATGAACATTAGAGAAGTAGTGATCCTAGGGATGTTTGCTTAATAAAATATAATTGATTATTGGCCTGTATTTGCCTTGGTTTCCAATGTTAAATTCTCCCAAAAGTATAATATGAAATATGTAAAGAAATATAATTGACTTTTTTACTAATTTAGAAATTGTATTGTCATACATTTTAGATGATGCAGGAAAAGTCTCCCATCAATATGAATGTATTTTTAAAGGGAAATATAAGTTCTCGCCATTGTTTCCTAGCTAATGTCTACCAACTTTACAGTTCTCTAGTTCAATGTCACTTCCTCAGGGAAGTTGTGCCTAGCACCATAGATTAAGAGAGGCTCACTTTTATGCTCTTCTTATATATGGTACTTTTCTTCATAGCACTTAGTATAAATTATATTGA